GACTGTTTTAGGGCTAATATGCCAGTTTTATTGCTATGAATTATCTCATGTTTCCAGGTGTATGTCCCATTTGCCAAAAAGATCCTTAGTCTTTGATGGCGAGTTACAGTATTTTCCTTTTGGCTTTGGATGAGGTTTGTGTGTGTGTTTTTGCAGGGGCCCCTGATGTGTACCAACCGTGTGAGCCCAGCATGCAGGCCTGGAGTCCTGAAGTTAACCTGTATGAGCCCAACATGACGACACCGTGCCCCCAGAGCGAGGGCTGCGTACTGGAGCTGCATTTCCTGCAGCCAGTGCTTCCTGACAGCCTGACCGTCTGGATCACCTACACCTCAGCCAGTCAGTACTGTCTTCACTTTGTACTTCACAAAAACTAAAAGCATGAAACTAGATATGTTAAATCTTAAATACAATAATTGTTTTATGAAACAGACAGATAAATAGATAATAGATTAAAAAACACATTTTACCTCGATTTATATATATAATTTTTTTTGTTCTTTAAAAAAATACATATTCCGTTCATCAAGGTGGCATTTATTAAAAGTAAAAAAAAAAAAAGAAAAGTCAAATAGTTAATTATTTATTTATTAATTTATTATTTATTCATTAAATATTGTACATAGTTTCAGATTAAATGATTCCTCCAGTCATTATTGATTTTATTACTATTACCATTATTATTAATAAAAATAAAAATAATAATAATAATAATATTAATAATAATAATAATGATAATAAATATTAAAGGGATTTTTTAAAAATCATGTGACTTTGAAGACTCATTACTCTGACATTACTCTGAAGAGTAATGAAGCTGAAAGTTCATCTTTAAAACCACTGAAATAAATTAAACTACTTTTCAACACTTTTTGTACAGTAAAATAACATTTCACAATTTTACAATTTTGACTGTATTTTTAAATAATTAAATGCAGCCTTGGTGAGTGGAAGAAGCTTTTAAATTAAAACATTTAAAATCCTTTTCACCCCAAACCTTTGACCAGTAGTGCATATATACTATATATATTAGAGCTATAAATAATTTGAGACCACTTGAAAATTTAGTAAATTTATCAGATATGGGTTTCAGTAAAGTAAAAAAAAAGGTATTGTGTTGTCTAAAAATAAATATAAACATGTCTGAAAACTTGCCACTTGTTTGTTAAGAGCTTTTTGTTTTTTATTTTATATCACAATAATAGGTTTTTGTTTGTTGTGATTGAATGCCGACATTTATTACACCAAATATTGATTGCTTAAGTATTGGTGTCCAAACTCGGTCCTGGAGGGCCGGTGTCCTGCAGATTTTAGCTCCAGCTTACCTCAACACGCCTGCCAGGATGTTTTTAAAAAGCCTATTAAGAGCTTGATTAGCTAGCCCTGGTGTGTCGGATTGGGGTTGGATCTAGAGATCTTCGCGGGACTAAATTTTGAATCCTGCTTCCGGCCACTCTCGCCAGGGTTTAGCCTGAACCCGACCGCTCCCGCTTATATTCAGCATTTGTTGTAAAAGGACAAAGCTCTCTCTCTCATTTGCGCGCACATTCACACACACAAACACACACACACACACATAGACAGCAACAAACAAGCTAAACGCAGCATCACGCTGTCTCATTCACACACATACATACGCGTGCTTGCTCGCTCAGGAGTCGAGAGCGATATTGACCGCTTACACCCGTCCAAAATTAAACCAGTTACCGACCGCTGCCGCAATTTATTTGGAAATTTATTGCCGTGCTGCAAGATATCTGGTTGGGTTCCGTGGTACTTTTCAAAATGGAAACATAAATTAGACCTCTAGTTGAAACTAAACTTTGCATGACACTGGAATTCCAGGACCGAGTTTGGACAAACCTGGCTTAAAGGGGTGGTCCAGAATGCAATTTTAAGGCTTGGTTGTGTAAGTAAGATGCAAAGCAATGTGTGCTCATGTTTCACTTGAAGGAAATCGCATTATTTTTTCATATATCTCACTTTGATTATACACAACTACTCAGCTAGCATGAAAACGACTGTCAAGTTTCCAAGTTCCTCTGAAAGGCCCGTCCTCAAGTGACTCTGACTCTGGTCATCGTCATAATGTGCTGCTATTCGCGGATCGGCTCCACGGCACGCCCGTAAAAGCATGCGGTTTTCTGCTGTGTAAATAGTCAGTCAACCTCCTGCCTGCTCTCTAAAATAAAATCTGTTACGAGTGAACAAATGTGTCTGTAACGAGTGAAAATGGTGTTTTGGAGTTTAAGAGACCTTGTCTTTGTGTGTGTGTGTGTGTGTGTGTGTGAATGTTGAATGTGTGAACTTTCTGTAACAAGCGCATGTGCACAGGAGTTTTTTTTTTTTTTTTTTCTCTGATGCTCGGATTAAGTTATTTTCTGTAGTATATCGTGACAGAAGAATAAAGCACAAGATGTGGGATGCTACCTGTGTGAGCCTTGATTTGTTTTTCTACTGCTACCACGAGTCAGGTAAGCTAACCTGTATTTTTTTAAACTCTATGCGTTACACAACGTCTTTCATATATATCCGGAATATGCAGGTGTAAGTTATATAAATCATCCACATATCTTTTGCGACTTTATTACCTGAGATGTGAAACGCATGGAAAAGCTGCCTGAAGACAATCAATGCAGTCGCGTGCGTACACACATAAGAGACACGAACGTGCTGGTGGAGTGTTTGTGTGTGTGTTTACAGCAGTTTGACTGATAAATATGAATTTGTAGCTAAATCGTTTGCCCGCAAAGCGGCAATTTGCATTGTTTACATCGTTGCTACAGCATACTGTTAACGCTAGACACTGTACATGTCATGATCAATTTTAACAAATAAAAACACTTACAGGTTGTAGCTCACAGCTTCTGCTTTGAGGAGATTTTAGCCGAATCCAGCACTGAACTGGGAGAGATTCTGGAGGCTGTTTTGTCAAATCATGCTTGCTGTGTATTTTATAATTCTCTGGAACATAATTAATATTAAACTGTAAGCACTTCTGTCTTTGTGTCATGTCCTTTGGAAGCCCAAATACAGAAACAGACGAAGCTCTGTGGAAACAGCCGTGTTTGGACGCATTTTTAGCTTCATCTCTGCTATAACGTTACAGCGCCTCCGGCCACGACCCTTACCTGCGCAGTTTGTATGCGCAGTAAACAAACCTTTGTGATCTTACAGGGGGCAGAAGTATTTTTTGTAGTCCCCAAAATTCGTTCATTGTAGGCTTTGCTAAGCTAACTCTGTAAAATCCAAGGTCTCCCTTTGCATTGAACTTAGAACTTTTTACATTCAGACATGTTGTTTATGTTCACACAGCTACATTACACATCAACTAAAGTTTAAAATATGATATCATAGTGGACCACCCCTTTAAGTCTTATGTTGTCTAAAAACAATAGTAATATAAACTTTGACACTTTTTGTAATTTTATGCAATAAAATACTCAAAATGGATTGAATTTTATTTTAAATAATTTAATGTCACCAGTAGTTTACAGAATATATAATACACCTAACTGAAACAAATAACTATAATCATAAATCAATTTCTGAGATTTTTCCACAATTGTATATATAATTATTTATTGTACTGGTATTAAGTCATTTATTAAGTGAACTAATAAATGATGACAGCAAAATTAGGACTTTAAATTACAAAAAAAAATAAAAATAAAATAACATAAAAATATCTGACAGAACTTAATGTACATTAATTATTAAAAGGAATGTTTTCAATAAATTATTATTATTTTAATATTTTAATTAATTCCTTATTTGGAACATTAATTTGATCCAGAGTTGTTATTATTATTTTTTTGTTTCGAAATAATTATATTTTATGTACATACTAAAATGTCCTAAAATTAAATCCTGCAGAGCAGTTTAAAACAATAATAAGTTAAATTTTATTAAAGTATTATTGTTTTATTTTATTTCATTCTTCTGTTTTTCTACAGACCAAAAAGCAATTGCCAATATTGTGTTCATAACGGAGAATGGCGAGTTGATCCACACAGGTCCTCAACATGCTTTCTGTGATATTCCTTTGACGCTCCATGTTCACACTAGCAAGAAGGTCAAAGCCATTAAAATCTCCACCTTTGACAAGAAGCTTGAGATAGATGCTGTTCTCCTGACCTCGCGGCCCCAAAATCCCCTGTGCTCCGGCTGCCGACCACTTCTTTACAGAGTCATCAGAGAACCACCAATCAGAGAAGACCAGAGTCCTGCCATCGTCCGACAGCCCTCATACACAGACAGGTACCAAGACGCATCTGTTTGTGTTTAACAATAGAACTTGGACACTATTTTTTAAGGCAAGACACTGTAGGTGAATAGGCTATAAAAGAAAAGTAATATCACCATACTTCCACAGCTGATTGATTAGATTAAGTATTAGAGATGTTTTTTTTTTTTTTAGCATTACAAGTTTTACAGAAATGTATGATTAAAAATGCAAATGAGGCATTGTTCCACTATTGAGCTAATTTACTAATTTCTAGCACAAAAATCTGAACATTTGAAAAGAGTATTCTGAACTATTAGAGTCAAAGATTTTACATATAGAGGATTTGATTTTCAAGGCTAAATTCATAAGATACTGCAAACAGACAAAATAAATGTGTAGAATAATCAGAAAATGTATCTATGAACATTTCCCTCTGTAAAAAACCCTTTAATATACATATAATTCTGTACAGTTTGGTGATTGTACTCAGTAAGAATTATAATATTGCCTCCTAAAATCTTTTTGTTAAGTCAAGTTTATTTTTCTAGTCATCTTAACTCAACTCAAATCAGTCAAACTGAATAAACATATTAAGTTAAACTTTATATAACTAAAAAGTCGCTGCATATTGTACATTTTTTTAGTTGTATAACTAAAAATAAATTGATTAACTTTTTAAATGTAGCTAAAGTAACATAAAAAAATATATTTGTTGTCATGACTTAGTGTCGTGTAATTTTTAACAGTGTAAATGCAAAATAAATTGCTTTCAAGAGTTCCCACTTAGATATGCTTGGCATTTATAGCAGGTTTGGCATGCTGTCCCGGGAGAGAACCCTGAGCACGGAGATATTTGAGCCCAGGGCTCCCGCCCGGTCAATAAGCATATCAGGCGATCTGAGATCAGGTAGGTCTCGATCACTCCCCCTTTAGATGGGGAGAAAAAGGAGGAGATGGGGTGGGTCCATTTATATTAAGCTAGGATCATTCTGATTGGATTATTACTGATTACGGATGAGTGGCCAGCAATGCACAATCATATCATGTGCTCCTCTTGAAATTAGTTTGTGAAACTTCACTTAATTTACACTACCTGACAAAAGTCCTGTCGTTGATCCCAGTTGTAAGGGCAAAAAATAACAACTTGATGTCTAGTTGATCATTTGGAAAAGTGGCAGAAGGTACATCTGTTGAACTGCATCCCAATCATCACAAATACAGCAGAAACCTATTGGAACCCACATTGACCCAATATTCTTACAGAAATCAGTCAAGTTTGGAAGGAAAATTCATTGTTTGGGGTTACTTTAGTATGGGGTGTGCGAGAGATCTGCAGAGTGGATGGCAACATCAACAGCCTGAGGTATCAAGACATTTGTGCCGCTCATTACATTACTTACCACAGGAAAGGGCAAATTCGACACAATAGCACAATAGCACTCCTTCACATACTGTACTTCAGCCTCAACATTAAAGTTCCTGAAAGCAAAGAAGGTCAAGGTTTTCCAGGACTGGCCAGCTCAATCACCAGATATAAACATTATTGAGCATATCTGGGGTAAGATGAAGGAGGAAGCGTTGGGAATGAATCCAAAGAATCTAGATGAACTCTGGGAATCTTGCAAGGATGCTTTTGTTCCAGATGACTTTAATAATAAGTTATTTGAGTCATTGCAAAGATGTATGGATGCAATCCTCCAAGCTCATAGGAGTTATACACAATATTATTTTTTTAGCCACTGCACCATGACTTTATATTCTATACTGTACATTATTTCTGTGTGACAAGACTTTTGTCTAAGCAAAGTCAGACCTTACTGTCCTAGTTAAATAATTAAAAATCAAGGCATGATCATATTTTATTTTAGTCAAATAAGCGTAACCTAGAGGTCATTGCCTTTCATATAAGCCATTTCTGATATCAGAATTCTGATATTGATCAACTAGAAGTCAAGTTTGTTGTTCCTAAAACTCGGATAGGCAAGACATTTGTCAGGTAGTGTAGGCTAGATTGCGAAATCTACAGAAACAAATTGATAAATTGCAGAAACAACACTTACAATTGTATTTCCAATGTTTACTTTAAATCAGACTGAAAAACCAAAAAAAGAAAAGCCATGAAGCCCCAAATCTCAAAATTGACGAATGGAGTGAAGCAGTGTTTTCTTTACAGTATCTTGCCTTAAATATTTATTTGAAATTGGTGAACCATTAGTAATTCTGTCACATAAAAACATCTCTGTCATGTTTTTATTGTGTTTTGGGTTGATTTACTGCATTTCTGGGAGTATTATTTTTAAATGTGGCTTAAGTATAAATGCTGAACATGTTGAGTTTCTAAAACTGTCATCGAATTATATCCTCAGCATATCAATGTTTTAAGCATTGCGCAACGGTTTTCGAAGAAACGCTGAAAAAAATCATTTCCACAGCCAAAACAATAAGAAGAAGAATAATATCATGCATTTGACGTTGTCATTTCATTAGCCCTTCATTTTACAAGAATCAACGTGTTGGCCAAGTTCTGTCACATTTTATTCAGCTTGTTCCAATGCCGATTCATCAATGGGGCACCAGACTGTTGTACTTGCAATAGGTCAAAATGTCTAGAGATTAATAGCGTGGATCAGAGAATGAAACATATCCAGAAAAGTTCCTTCCACAAGTCCTGTAAACTCAGAAAGATGGAAAGTCTACTGGGGATTGAGCTATGTGGATAGGGAAAGGAAAGAAAGACGGATTGGATCAGAGAAAGAGAGAAAGCGAGGTACAATGAAACCTTAGAATATAAACCAAATGTGACCGCTTTACCCGTAGAAACAGTAAACACCCGTGGCTGTTTGTAGCTGCTCTGAAATTGTTTCCAATCTCTTGCTAAAGGGAGTAGTGTGCGTGATGTAGTCGCTGTGCAGTAAGTGAGAGACCTGTCATTTAGCAACGGAGACAGAAGAGTGACAGGGAGAAGAGGGGGAAATGGGAGTGGGATTGAGGGTGTTTTGTGGGAAAGCAGGCTACAGTGCCACCTTGAGGTCTGTTGAAATAACAAAGCACTTTGTTGTTGTCTATTTTTTCTTTAAAGAAGAGTGAATGGAGATGCTTAACCATCTGAAAATCCTAATGATTAACCGTTGGAAGACCTGCTCTAAATATTAAATGAGCTATTACATTTGTATTCATATTATATTTGCAGTTAAAACAAAAATTCAGGAAATACATCCTTGTTGATATTGATATTTGTTGAATTTGGTTATATTTTATATATATTAAAAAATGAATGAATGAATGAAAAAAATGAATAAATCGATATAAAAGTTAAAGAGGGAAAAGGGTTTTCACGCATCAGAACCTTAAAAGAGTAAAACAGCTTTCAATTCATAACCAATGTAGTTTTAAATCTTTATACTTCACACTCCTTCTAACGACTTAGGGTATTAACATTTTTAAATTATAAAACATATTACTGGGATTACTGTTATATGTTTTAATACACGGGTCAGAATAAGCACATTGTTTATTTTACTGAAATATATATCTCTTAAGTTGAATTGCAATGTTAGATTATTTTCACTTCTGTTTTATTTGACATTTTTTACAAAACTAGTTTGAAACATTGAATAAGAACATTTTCTTGCATGTTAGATGCTTTCTCTCTTCATAAAATCACTTGTATATGCTACAAAAGTTTCTTAAATAGCAACGAAACTGTAATATTGTGAAATGTTACTACATTTAAAAAATTTGTTCTACTATAATACTATGTTTTAAAACATGCATTAGTAAATAGATAGATTTAAAAAATAGATATAATTTAACAATTTATTTCACACATATCAAGAACAGCATGTGTTAATATAAATATTTGGCCTTAAATCTTTAAAATTAAAATAAAGAAAATTAAAATATAGAAAAAAAACACATGTATATATATATATAGCAGTGCGATATGGCTGTATATCGGCACTGGTGGGAGGCGTGCGTTGGCACGAGGCCCAGGCCAAGTGCCTTAGTGCCCCCACCAGTGTCGATATATAGCCATATCGCACTGCTACAAGTGTGATATTGCGTTTATACAACAGCTCGACAGCATAATTGTGTATATAAAAACAAAATCAAACATGGAGAGTCTCAAAAACCCATTTGTATGAGGAACTACTTTGTTCTGGATTCAAATCATAAGCTGACAGTTAAACAGTTGAGCGTGCATCTTTTAAACTTTAGATCTCTAGTGTCTACTTTTTGCTAGCTGTATGTGGGCGGAGTAATACACAAAGGGTAAAGAGGCTGTGGGAGTTCTGATATTGCAGAATATCGCACGGCTATCAGCCAATCAGATTTGAGAACCAGACAGAACTGTTGTATAAATAAATAAATAAATATATATATATATTAGGGGTGTCACGATTTAGATTTTTAATCGAAATCTATCGAAATTTATGCTCAATTTCGATTATTCGAATCAAAAAATAGAATCGTCGATGCTGCCACGCCCCCATGTCACGTCAGCTTGGCTTGCCAAGCGGGAAAAAACAGGCTTGTTGAAGTGCTTGTTGAACTGCAGACGCAGGAGACCCGTCGACAGAACTTAAACCCTCTCCTCTTTCAATGAAGTCGTCGGTGTGTAAGCATTTTGGATTTCCAGTGAGTTATGTGGACAACGTTCATGTTGTCGACAAAAAACCCAGTTTTGCAAGCTCTGCTATGTACGTATTACGTACGGTTCGTCCGATAGACAACACTGGCATCGCGATCCTCCGCCCGCCCCCGTTGCAAATCCGCTCGCGAAAAGTACACACTCAGGCCCTGTTTACACTGTGTTTGTTTTTAAATGGCATTTTAGAACGACAACGATTTGACATCCACAGTGGTGTGTAGCATTTCTGAGCAGCCCTCCTTGCTCTCTACCTCTGAAACATCACGTGACCACACAGACACAGACGCACACACAGCCATATGAGCTTGAGACAGCAGGTCCAGGCAGTCAGAGGGCTGCTTCAATCTTTCACTCACTTGTACTTTGTCATTTTAGCGAACACCTCAGATACTGTTGGCTGGTTCCTGTTGGTTGTGCGTCTTTTTTACCGACGCCATTATAACGACACAGATCACTGCCTATTCATGAGTCTCGCAGAAAAAGTGATTGACAGGTGGTAATTATGTGTGTATCTTGCCTTTGTTCATTTACTGTATGATTTGTTTATCGGTAAAACAAAGACCATGCAGGTCTGGTAGTTTAAACGGTAGGCTACAAATAATTAATTGGTTATTAATTAATTAATTATTCATAATCGAAAATCGAATCGAATCGTGCCTTTAGAATCGAAAATGTAATCGAATCGAGGATTTGGAGGATCGTGAAACCCTTAATATATATATATATATATATATATATATGAGCTATATTACACAATTAGGAGTTCGATATGGTGCTATATCTGTACTGGTGGGATGCTTGTGTTGGCTCGATGCCATAGTATGCCATCGATTTCTTAGTGCCCCTCACCAGTGCCGATGGATCACAGATTTTAGCGTATAGGATATCAGGAATCTTTTAGGATTTCACAAATTTGCCTCAGATGACAAAATCGTGGCTGACATCTCACAGTGTGAGCAGGGCTTAGGGACTTAATAATGCAGTCGCCATCTTGTGGCAGACCGTCAACCAGCACTTTCTTTGGTCTGCTCAGACAGGCTGATGGTGGCAGAAGCACTGAATCTCCAAAATTATAAATACTTTAAAATAGGCACTATCTTTATAAATAAACTGCATAGTTGCAATCTAAACAACTACATTCTTGACTAAAAATCACGAAAAGAAAATTTTATTGTCCAACAGCAGCAATTTTTGTCAAACTGTAGAGTGTCCTCTGCTTGTTGCTGTATGTGGGCTGAGTAATGCACAACGGTGAAGGATGAAATGCTGTATTAGTGCTGGTATTTGCATAATATAGCACAGCTATCAGAAAATCAGATTCAAGCACCAGACAGAACTATTGTATATATATTACATTATGTACCTGTTGTGTTTTATGAAGGGTCCTAATGTTTCTTGCTGCTTGTCTTATCTTTGAAAGGAAATTAATGCTTTTAAAATAATTGTAATACAATCTATAAAATACTGCCAATGTTTCAATCCACAATTAAGTGAAACACAAATAAATCTAATTGTTTGGGCAAAGTTGGGTAAACAAAAAAGAATTAACAAATTTAACACAGGATTCAGGATTGTTCTTGTTTTACTCAAATTTGGTTTAAAGCAACACAACATTTTTACACTATAGTTGATTTCAGTGGAAAATGTCGAACAAGGCCAGTTGTGTTTAGACATTTGATGCATTTAAGCTCAAATTAAACCACACCCATGACCAATTTATGGCCAAATAACTAGATTAAATATAACTGTATATACATAACTGGCTGTGCTATGAAGAGAGAAATTTGGCTTAATCTTTTCACTTGCACAGAATTCTTCATTGGATCTCCCTTTTCTTTGGCTTAAAGTAGTCTCACTCCTCTTCCCTCTGCCTGGAAGTCATCCATAATTAATAAGGCCAATTTGTTGAGTAATAAGAGCTGCTGTAGAAAATACATGATGCTCAGTTAGCAGGGCATCTTCTTACCAGTGGCCGGAAAACAACTGAAATCAAACAAGCCTTGGCAATCATGGCCTGACTCTTTTTATAGGCTCACTGAATCAGATCAGATCGATGCAGTGTGACATGCAGTGATAACCTCAATGTTCAAAGGACGTTTCCATTTTTAACAGGGTTAGATTTGAGATCACCCTGAGGAAAAATATAGTTGTGATCAAGTATTGCTGTTTCAAATTTAATTTAACAAATTTAATACAGCGGCTGTAGTGAAAATCAGCATTGCTCTGCTTAATTTTTGTATTTGGTTCCAGTGCTCAGTCATCATCATATATTTAAGTTTAAAGATGGAAAATGCATTATTACTGAATACAATGTTAATGTAATACATTTGTTTTTATATTCTTAACAAGATATTGAATATTTTTTAATAAACCATTTAGAGACAGTGCTACCAGTTACTTTTTTGTCTGAATGATTCATTGTTATTTAGAATGTTGAGCGAATGATACAATGACTCACTCTGAGTTTAATGGTCACTGAATGAATTATAAATTCATCCATCCATCTAGTCATCCATCCCTTTCTCTGTCTTTTATGTCTGCATGTCTGTCCTCACTTAACTATACATATTTCATGTTTGACATTTTCTATAACAGGAATAGTAAGAGTAGCATGTTGTTACACATTTCTGAATTTCAGCATTTATCTATCCATTTCTCCCTCTCTTCCTCCCTCCATCCATCCATCCATCCATCCATCTATCCATCCACATACCCACTGTTCCATCCATTTATCCATACATACATTCACATCCACACACCCACTGTTCAATTTATCCATCCATCCATCCATAATTATATTTATATCCACAATCTATCCATTCATTTGTCCATCCATCTATCCATCCATCCTTTCATTCATCCATCCATCCATCCATCCATCCATCCATCCATCCATCCATCCATCCATCCACATACCCACTGTTCCATCCATTTATCCATACATACATTCACATCCACACACCCATTATTCAATTTATCCATCCATACATCCATATATATATATACATTCATCCACAATCTATATGCCCATTCATTTATCCATCCATCCATCCATCCATCCATCCATCCATCCTTCCTTCCTTCCATCTATCCACACACCCACTGTTCCATCCATATATACATCCATCCATACATCTATTCATCCATCTGTTTGCCCATCCATTTGTCCAACCATCCCTCCATCCATCCATCCATCCATCCATCCATCCATCCATCCATCCATCCATCCACACATCCACTGTTCCATCCATCCATCAATCCATACATGCATCCACAATCCATTCGCTCATCCATCCATCTGTCCGTCCATCCATCCATCCATCCATCCATCCATCCATCCATCCATCCATCCATCCATCCACCCATCCACCCATTAATCCATGCATCCATCCATCCATAATCCATTTGTCCATCCATTATTCCATCTATTCGTCTATCCATTCGTCCATCTAGTTGTCCATCCATTCATCCATCCGTCTGTTCCTCATTCATTAATCCATCCATTCGTTCATCCTTCTTTCCGTCCGTCCATCCATCCATCCTTCCATCCATCCATCCTTTTATTTGTTTACATATTTTCAGTTGTATGTTATTTATTTTAATTTTTATTCATTTTCATTGTTTGTTATTGATATTTTGATTTTTATTTCTTTTTAAAGTACTTCTATATTGTATTCATTTATTTTATTTATTTTCATTTTTATTTGTTTTTGTTTTTCAATGTTTAATTTTTTCCATTTATCTATTTTTATTTTCTTTTTTATTTAACTGCTTAATATTTATATTTGATTATTCTCACCCTTTACTCCTTGTTGTATGTTTTCTAAATGTGTTTCACTCTTGTCCTCAGCGATGTGCAGAAGGATGTTCAGTACCTGTACAGGATCCAGGTGGAATCGGACGGTTTGTTCAGTGAACTTTCCCCCAGCCTGCTTTACACTCACGGAGAACATTTCTGTGGTGATGCCACACTACAGGGGTCAGTATCAACTTACTGTGTCTACTATGTGCTTTATTCATTTGTAAAGAATGTTTCATATTTCGGAGTATTTGTTTGACTCATTCGTGTTTTGAAGCGTAGCCAAAGACCTTCCACATACTTAACATAACTATAACCGCTGGCATCGCTCTCTCTCTCTCTCTCTCTCTCTCTCTCTCTCTTTCTTTACCCTAAAACAGGACTGAGGATTGTGATGATGGAAATCTTTTAGATGGAGATGGTTGTTCAAAAAAATGCCATGTTGAAGCAGGTTTCAAGTGTCATGGTGAGTCACAGTCACAAAACAAATACTCTGGCCCTTATACTATAAACACCACAACAGAAGCACCAGAACTAGGACTATAAACTTGGGTCATAATCATAAGCAGCTTTCAAAGCAGAACAATCCAAAGCAAAACAATACAATATTGCTGTCTCTTGATTCGGATTCTTCTGCTACTGTTTTTTATGCTTTATCAGACTGAACTGAGCAAGTATGTAATAGGGATCTTAAACATTTACATTTACATATTATAAGTCTGATTTATTTACAGCATTTAATTGAATCATTATACTTTCATTTGTTGTTTTTTTTTTTTTAGCTCAGCAATAAAACAAAGAAAAAACTAATTTCGTTAAATTTTAAATGACAATCTCTGTCAAATGCATATACCCCAACCACCATCATTCTTCCACTCTTTTCAGATGGTAGTGGCTCAAATCGAAGGTTACCATTAGCCAACTTTGGCCCGCGGGCCCTACTTTGGGTATACATGGTTTAAAAAATACAGGCATAATCGCATATAAACTAAAACACTGACAAATCAATAACATCTCACTTAGTGTATACAATTTTAATTAGACAAAAACTACCTCGTACAGTAGTCAGGCAAGAAAACATCTTATAATTTGTACATGTGATTATTTCTGTTGGGAGAGAATTTCATAGATTTGTGGCTTTATAAATAAAAGAAGATTAACCAAAAGAGGTTTTGCATCTGGAGATAATAATATTCCCCATTTACCATAGAATGTGTCATTCGCGATTAATTTGGAATTTAAAAAAATTTAATGATGGAAGAGAAAGTTTGTGAATAATTTTAAAAAACAAAACAAATATTGGAATATTATATAATATTATGAAAACTTAAAAGACTATGTTTTTTAAGATATTGCAGTGATGGTATAACTGAGGCCTTTTATCATGAATATTAAGTGCTCTCTTGTATAATGATTCCAACGCTGTTAAAGATGACTTACATGCCTGAGAACAGCTCGTTTTACATTTTGTACAAAGAAACTAACAAAAAACAAACCTAAACAAATATTTAAAAAAAAAAAGAATTGTTATTTCTGATCCTATTGTAATAGTAACCTTGCAAAACAGACAATAAGTATACTGTATTGTAAAATGTTGCTTAATTCTATAAGCTATATTGTTCCTTAAAAAACGTGTTATACTAAAACTGTTGTTTGTTACATCAGAATTGCATAACAGCAAATTTGAAAGCTACATTGTTTATGAATATAAATGATGTTATTAATCATTGGCTGACCAGAAAAACACACAGACACACTTTCCCGCTATGAATTATGAGCAATTTCTTTGACAGCAGAATCTTTGATGCTTGGTAATTTGGTCTGAATCTTTGCGCAATTTAAAAATTCATTCCAGATTGCAATCTGTGGATTTGAAGTCATTTACTGTAACACAACTGTTCTAATTTCACATAATAAAGCTCTCATTCAATGTTATCGTAGTTTTATGCAATGCATTTATAGTATGTCTTAGGCTGTAACTGATCTTCATAACAAGTCTATTAACGTTATGCCATTGTTACATAATGCGCTTCAGTGAGAGTGAAACAATCCAGGAAGACTCGCAGGAAATGTTGTGGGGAATAAAAGCAAATAGTTGACCAATTTAGTCAGTGTTGTTTTCGTGACTGAAAGTGCTACATTTTCAGTGAGCGTGAAGCATGAGAAGCGTCTAATTCAAACATGACCGTAGACGTAGACGGCGACTGACTCACATGCCTCAAACTTCCCAATGTTTTCATAGTAGCTTGTAACCACATTTTTGTGGATTTAGGGCATTCGGGAATGGCTTTTTTTCTGATATTTACTCTAATGCCACATTAGAAGCTCTCATATATTATCTCCACAAGCGTGTTTGGGGAGCAAAGATCAACAAAGCTTAGGAGTAAATCCTTTGGCATTGGCATGTGAGTTAGGTCAGCTGTTCTGCAGCAGCGACTGAGCCAATCAAATGCTTGTGTTTTTAATTTGATGTTTGAACCCTTTTGAGCCCTTTGCTTTTGATAAGCTGTTTTTCTTTGTTGCAAATGAAGTCATCTTCCTTTTACCGTACTGCATTCTCAGACGAGCGCTCATGATGTCACCTGCACATGTCGTTCTATAACGAATTAATTTTAACGACATGCTAATTCTCGTTTTAGCCCCACGTGCACATCCGTCAAAACTCATTCATATGCCATGACATCATGCACATATTTTTACGTGACGTCTTGATCGTTTATTTAATCATCTGACTGGAATCACGTTTATTTTCAATTCACACTTAAGTGAAGGCTAGTCTCACCGGCTTGCTATGAAAACACAATTACGACTTGGCAGTCAATGCGTTACTTCTGATGAGTTTGTCTTGTTTTTTTTCCCCCTCCATCAGGTCAGCCAAGCCTGTGCTATGTGTTTGAAGGAGATGGAGTGTGTGAGGAGTTTGAGAAGGGCTCCAGCATCCAGGATTGTGGTTTTTTCACTCCTCAGGGGTTCAATGATCAGTGGGCGTCCACTGCCTTGGGCTCGCACCAGGACCAGAGGTGTCCTGCCTCCAGGGTCACCGGGGAGCCTGCGCTCACTCAGGTACACACCAATCAACCTGTGCGTTAAACCATTGTTTAGGATTTAGTTGCTATTTTGTGTAAGATTTAATTGCTTGTATACTGAAATCGCTACGGAAGGTTGATCACTTAATAAAGGCCCTTAAGGCCCCGAATTTGAAATGCAATGACACTCTTGATGCAAAACAAAATATGTTTTTCTGGAGCTGTTCACATCATGTGCAATCAATCACAGCACATCAAAGCAAGGATTTTTTTTTTTGACAAGGGTGTTGATTTTTTCGCCTGTTCCCTGTGATGAAATAGGCCGCCTGGTTAGATTTTAGCTTTAGATCATGTGCCCGGAGCTGCTGCAGAAAACGACAAGTCTGATTGCACTATAGCACAGAAAGCAGAACGTTTGTTATTTTTGGTGTCTGAAAGAACAGAGAATGTTCTGGTAAAATTCACAGTGATTACAAAAATAAGAGGTAATTTGGCAACAAAAAAAGGTGCCATAGAATAAATAGTTGGATAGACATGGGAATAACCTGAATAAAACGATTTAAGTACATGAAAATTGCCATACCATGAGCCTCAAACACTGTTATTTACTTGTGCACATGTAAATGTGGTGAGTGTAAAATCCAGCTGAAAAACAGACTAATCAGAATAAAACATTGACTCTTGACAATCAACACAGGATGATTAATATGCCTGGCTGGGCTGCGTTTGATTGGCCACAAGGTTTCCTATTGAGATTGCAACAATTATATTTTTACAAGGCTGATATATACTTCTGCGTCAAGCTTACACGTATGCTCCAACGCAGCCTCTCAAAAAATCTAAGTACACGTCGCAACAACTCGTAGCGCAAGCTCTGTGATTGGTCTGCTTGGTAGCGCTGATGAGTGTGGGCGAGGGTGAAAGCGTTTACAAGTGTCGAGTCCAGTGAAGGAGCTGTAGATGTTTACCTTATGATTAAAGTTGTTGCATGTCTGTCGGTTCCTGCCTCAGAATGAGCGAGTTTGTGCTACTTCTTCATTTAGGTACTATTCAGAAAAAAAACAAAACACCAGGGAAGAAACTCGACACAGAGCAACATAAAAACCTCACTGCTAGCTAGTGTTTCGGAAGTGTTATTGCAGAGCAACACAAACAGAGTGCAGAAGTATAAATGCACAGCAACGCGCAAGGCATGCGCCGTGGGTCACGCTGATCACTCAATGCAGAGGTATAAACCAGGCTTAAGGGCGCTTTCACACCTATAAATCGATTCTTTTGTGCTGAAACAGGGATTAAAATTGTCACAATGTTGCACTTTGTTCTTGGTGTGGTTCACTTCCACTCAACAAAATTTCTAAATGGACCAAAATAACTAAAACAAGTCCCGCTTAGTTGTCATTCGTCCTTATTTTAATTTATTGCAATGAGCAATTTGAATGATTCATTTTGAATGGTGACACCCACAGACATCGTCACCAAATATAAGTCAGAGGTCAGACTTTCTCATACCGTTGGCTAGAGTTATGCAATATAGGTTTAACATTATAGAGAGAGATAACAGATTATCCAAGACTGCAGTTCGGTCAATTTTCCTAACTGATAAACAGCTCTCGGTAATAATTCAGCATGCTTTCACTTTCACAGTTGACATGAAACACATTTTACCAGTTGGAATGACATCCCACCCTACTCCTAATTCTCTCTTCATATAGCTGCATACATGCCTATGACATAACAATAATACACAATGACTTAGCCTGGTTCGTTAGTTCGTTGGATTGTTTTGCCTTTGTTTCGCTCCAGAGTTTGTTTCAATCGAGCCGAGACCACCTTATTCACGTGATCTTGAACCGATTGTTTTGGCATACCTGTAGATCTAAGTGCGATTGCTGGTTGCACATATGCCAAACGAACCACACTAACTGGGGAAATGGCGCCAGGTTCTGAAACAAAAGTCTAGGTGTGAAAGCACCCTTAGTTTTGCACCCTTCAGTTTTGTAAAGCAGGCGGCCATGCATGACCTCATAGAGTTCACAGCTCGACAGAATGCAAAATGGGATATGCGGATTATACAATTATTATTCAGCACCACCCAGAAGAATAAGGTTGAATGTTGTAATTTATCTTTTGTTAGTTTAAAGTGTATATTGTGAACTTTTCTGTGTGTGTTTGTAATGAGAAACAGACTCATGCAGATATGTGTAATGAGTCAACAAACATTTGTGAACGGCTCAGAGAGAGAAAGAGAGCAGGCACTGACACAAGATGTCGAGCATAAGAGCAGATCTCATTAATATTCATGACTGTTCCAAATATGGTCAAAACTGAGCTTTTCATTCTAGGGGTAATTGTTGTAGTTATAAAAGTGCATATTAAACAATTTTTGGAAAATTGTTTTACTTCCCAAATCTTCTATAGACAACAATTTAACAAGTTGAATAAATGCACACCTTTAAGTCATAAGCATGATAGTTTGTGTTTTTAATGTACCGTACTACCAATATTTGTCATATTTTACTGTTGTCATGTGATTTGGCAGTATCTGTTCACAAATCCGCTGTGATATTCCAATCAGATTGACAAAAACAATGAGCTGTGTTTGTTTTGAATGCAATATTAGATATATTTTATGATTTTTTTCATGCTTTCCTTTTCAGATGTGCAAGTCACAGTATTTTGACATAAATGAAATAGTGGCTCATGAGGCTTGGAGCCCCTGTACAGCCCATTATACACAGGATCAGTCTGTCTGGCTACAGGTAAATTCATACTCAGTGGACAACATGTAAAGTCTTTGAATTTTATTCAGTCAATTAAAGTCACTTTTCTTTGCCTTTTTTGCCATTTTTAAATCAGGTTTGGTGTATTTAGGGTGTTGAATTTTGAATATCGTTTGTATATCAAAATACAATGGTTTTAAAGTTGAGGTCAGTTAGAAGTTGATTTTTATTCAGCTATAAATGGATTAAATTAATCAAATGTATCAATGAAAGGTTGCTGTAATTTTATAAAAGTTTCGTTTATGAAAAAGATCCAGTTGTTTGGAACTTCTCTGTAGTTTGATTGTGCAAAGATATAATGCAAGACTTCAAAAACATCAACAGACCATTTTTACATTTAGAATGTTAGCGTATGTTCATGATGATTTTGTATATATTTATATGTTGTGCTATTTCTTTATGCAGTCTATGCCAATGCTAATCAATAATGTTACTCAAGCTCAGAATAATGCTACTATAAGCATTACTTACACAGCTACACTTTTGTTACAGGTAGGATTTGAGCGGCCAGGTGTAGCAGCCTCTGTCATCATCTATCTGGCATATGATGGTAGTTGGCATGGAGAAAACTGCAAGAAAACAGTGACCATTGAACTCTGTGACACCAATGGGAAAAGACACTTGCTTGGTAGCACATCTATCAAATGCTTGGTAAAAAAAAAAAATGTTTTATGTATCAATGTCATTTCAACCTGTCTTTTGTGTTTGCTTGTTGACAGGTTCGTATGAGGTGTCATGTCAGCGCAACCCCCTAGTGGTGAATGTGACTCACAATCTGAGTGTGCCGTTTTACCAGACTTCAGCAGTGCAGCTGAACTTCTCCTCCTCTCAAGTGGCCGTGGTGGCGGTTGCATTACGTACTTCTTGTCACTTCAGCGCCTTTGCCCTGACCGGGTGCGCTGAGGGTGGGATGTCCCACGACTTACAAGCACAAACAAAAATGCATTTATTCATTATTCATACACTACCATTCAAAAGTTTAGAATCTGAAAGACTTTTTATGAGTAACAAAGCTGCATGCATTTAATAATACTGACAAAAAAAAAATCTATAAAATTTTATTTCAATATATTTTAAATTGTTATGCATTCTGGGCGAGGCAGTGGCGCAGTAGGTAGTGCTGTCGCCTGACAGCAAAAAGGTCGCTGGTTCGAACCTCGGCTCAGTTGGTGTTTCTTTGTGGAGTTTGCATGTTCTCCCTGTCTTCGAGTGGGTTTCCTCCGGGTGCTCCGGTTTCCCCCACAGTCCAAAGACATGTGGTACAGGTGAATTGTTTAGGCTAAATTGTCCGTAGTGTATGAGTGTGTGTGAATGTGTGTGTGGATGTTTCCCAGAGATGGGTTGCGTCTGGAAGGGCATCCGCTGCGTAAAAACTTGCTGAGTAAGTTGGCGGTTCATTTCGCTGTGGCGACCCCGGATTAATAAAGGGAATAAGCCGACAAGAAAATGAATGAATGTTATGCATTCCTGGATTTTTCGGTATCATTACTTCTGTACTCACTGTAACACAATCATTCTGAAACCATTGTAATATGATGATGTGATGCTTAAAAGTCCCATGAAATTAAAGGTTTTTAGAGTATCAGTATTGTTAATCTTTAAGATACCTACTGTATAAGCTAGTGTGCTCCAAAACAGTGACAATTTGCGTTTAGAAGATATAAAACTGATATAAACATGTAAAGCTTGTCACTTTTGCTTATATGGAGCAATGATTTTTTTCACATCATCTCAAACAACAGTTTCTTATCACATCATAACCAATCAAATTCTCTCTTATGTCTGACATACCCCGCCCCCTTCATGACGCTTCTCATATGCATTTGATTTGATGCACTTGAGCTTAATCGCTCTCACTGGTGAAGCAGTGATAAAAACAAGACGCTATTGGGAATTTTTTTAAAAAGGGAGGAGCTACAATATGTCCTGTGTTTCGGTTGTGATCACGTCAAACATCTAATAAAAATGCATATTTCAAAGCAAAGTAATTTCTTACTTTTATTAATGTCAAAAGCAGTTTAATGGTTGTATGAAAACCATGACACATTTTAAAATAATTTTTCTTTAAACAAAAAGTAAAATTTTTATACAATTATTTTGTAATATTATAAATGCCTTTGCTGTCGCTTTTGCACATTTTAATGCATCATTGCTATATAAAAATATAAATTTATTAAATAAATGACTCATTCTAAACTTTTTAAATGGTAGTGCAGGGCATTAAAGATATAATGCATTACATAAACTATACAAAGACAAGTGTTAATGTCCAGATCAAATGATCATTTCACATCCTTTTTACTTAAAGATGTTTTTTTTTTATCTGGTCAGTTATTACAGTAAATGCAGCACACACTTATATTAGATATTTCACAATCCTCATTTGAATGTTGTGACTATTGAGCATCTAAAATTGGTGCTCATTTTGTGTGTAAATGCAGGCTCGTAGCCAGGCGGGTTTGGGTGGTTCGAACGACCCACCCCTCACTGACAAAAGTCCAGAATTTGTCCCATTCATGAGCTCATTTGTCCTATTTTAACTGCTATGCCATCCTGGTGAAAATAACCCATTGAACAAGGCTTTAAGACCTAGCGGAATCCTCTGTTCTGCTAATCAGTTTTGGCCAATACTAACAAATATTTTTCATGAGTCCAAGATCCAGCTGTGCAATAAAACATATGCTCTGATGTAAGTGAAGTCCTCTTTCGCTACTGTTTTGTTATTAAATGGAGAAAACATTTTACAAGTAACTTTTATTCTAAATCTTGGATTTATTCTTGAAAACAAAAATGACTAATAAAAATGTGTGACGCACCAAAAGCAGCCCATATTTAAATTGATTTGAATTCAATTTGGGTAAAATAGTCAAAAAGTGTGGTTATGATGACCATCTGACAAGGTAATTAAGAATAGTGCTTAAAATTTCACTAAAATGCAGCGTTTAAATTTCATAATTCAATAGAAAATAAGGCGTATAATTGCAAAAAGGTCCACTATTTTAAGAAAAAAAAGAACCACCCCTTTCACCAGGCTGGCTACGGGCTTGAATTTTACATCTTTTGAAATGAAATTGTTCACTTTTGGTGTCATTTGAATTGAGAAATTACTATTTTAGTGATACAATTTTCACTTAGTTATCATCAAAGCTCCCTCTATTTTGTTGTCAATCACTAAACCTCAGAAGTGTTTCTATAAAAATGCCAGATAGGGCAAGTAAGTTACCTAAGCTTTCAGATGCAGCCAAATACATCATAAACATACTCAGAGACGCAGATAAAAATACAAAACAAAAAAAATCATTTATGTTTGGCAGTGTATTTGATGTCTGTGTCTGCACCATTAAACTGAATGTGTTTTTTTTTTTTTCTCTCTCAGATGTGTGCGTAGGCTGTGCAGTACTGAGTCATGCAGTCCTGTGAATATTGAACATGCTTCAGTCCGCTGTACTCCAGCGTTAGACTCCAAACACTGCTCTGTTTCCTGTCATCGTGGCTTTATACTCACTGTTCTCCACGGCCAGAGCCTTTCTTCCCATCAGGTGAGCACAAGTACCAGGGTTGTCATGGGTAAGGGAATGTCTGGAATATCATGGAATTTTAAATGGTCTATTCCAGACATTGAAAGTCATGGATTTTTTTTGTCCAAGTCATGGAATATTAGGGATTTTTGTTTGACACTTAATATTTTAGTTGTCATTTATCAAAACAGGTTTATATATAAATATATTATTTCCTTTTGTTTCACACCTATTAAAGCAATTTGATTACTTTCTTACTCACAAACTTATTAAATTATCTGTTGTTGTTCTCATAGTGGTTATTGACGTCATGCAAATTATTTTCAAGCATTTAATAGTAATATTAATAATTAATATTAACAGGGCTTGACATTAACTTTTTTGATCAGCAGCCACTGTGGCTAGTAGTTTTCCAAAATTACTAGCCACCCGGCATTTTCACTAGCCACAATTTAGTTGTTAGATTTAGTATAAATTAAACTTTGGCATGCTAAAATTTCTTGATTTAAATGATGTGTTATGTCCACATGCCTCCTCATTCATTTAACTTTTTTGTGTGTTGTGTATGACCTTGCTCAATGAGGATGAGCAAATGTGTTGTGGCTTCATAGTGTTGCATTGCATTTATTCATTCGCTTTCTTTTCAGCTTAGTCCTTTTATTATTCTGGGGTCGCCACAGCGGAATGAACTGCCAACTTATCCAGCATATGTTTTTGCCTTCCAGCTGCAACCCATCACTTGGAAAGTGTTGCATTGCAATCAGTTTTATTTCACATGACTTTTTAGGGCTCAGCACTAAGGATTTACAAATTTTCTCTCTGGTCACGTCAAACTAATTATTTCCCTGCCAAAAAATTTAAATAATGTGCAAAAACAAGCAAAATATAGCTGTATACATACACTTTTTATTCAACAAAATTTTCTTAAAAAACAATTGAGATTTTAAAAAAATTTGTCATGTATCTAAAACTATACACAGTAGTCTGTACTGGCTAAAGGTCCCAGATCACCAGTTAACTAAATATAAATGGAGAGTTGATCTCATATTAAAGCAATGTTATTATGCGGATGATAATGAAACCATATTAGTAAAAATAACTGTAAGCAAAAGAAAACGTGAAAAACATTCCGTGTATGATAGTGAAAGAATGACCAGGCACACATGGTTAATGTTTGGCATTTTATCTGTTCAAAGAATGGTTTAATCGAAAGCGGCAACCGCTGTCGCTTACAATAAAGTCTCAAGCGCCTAAAAGCAGCAGAACTGTGGGTGCATGAGCAACGCTTTTTTCCAGTCTATTTAAAAGAGAACCGATCACGCTGTTGCATTTTCAGTCCTGGTTGCTTCACGCAAGGAAACGGGGCACAGGAGCTTTTAAGCACTCGCACACTAAAGCCCTCGTGAGTGTGTCAGGATTGCCTATGTCTCACCTTGTACCTGATCATCCTCTCAATCGGCTGTCCCCTGCTTTCTTTTTCTCATGCGAACAGTTATCATTCGTGCTGCTTCTTGATTCTAAGATCACTTTTGCACGTATATTGACAAACAGTCATAAATTAAAACTCTAATCTTTAATGGCTGAAATGGCTAGTTGGGAGTGGCTATCTAACCCGCCACAGCTTAAATCTAACCGCAAATGACGGGTTGGTGGGTGTTAATGTCAAACCCTAAATATTAATATTTAAACCATTTTATATTATGCTGTTATTTTAACATATTATTTAAATATTATATTACTAATGTATCAACCTGTTTTTACTTTCATTAGATTTTTTTTGCATTTTTAGTCTCTGAATGTATGACGTTTTGGTTCATTTCTCTTCTCAAACAAGTATTGTAGTCATACAGTTGAAGTCAGAATTATTAGCCAACTTGTTTATTTTGTTCCCCAATTTTTGTTTAACGGAGAGAAGTTTTTTTTAACACATTTTTTTTTATAAATCATCTCTAATAACTGATTTATTGTATCTTTGCTATTATGACAGTAAATAATATTTTACTAGATATTTTAGGACACTTCTATACAGCTTAAAGTGACATTTAAAGGTTTAACTAGGCAAGTTGGGGTATTTAGGCAAGTTATTGGATAACGATGGTTTCTTTTGTAGATGTGGGAAAAAATATAGCTTAAAGGGGCTAATAATTTTGACCTTAAAATGTTATAAAAAAAATCAAAACTGCTTTTATTCTAGCCAAAATAAAACAAATAAGACTTTATCCCGAATAAAAACTATTATCAGATACTGTGAAAATGTTCTTGCTCTGTTAAACATCATTTAGGAAATAATGAAAAACAATTCAAATGGGATTTAATAATTCTGATTTCAACTGTAAATGTAATACCACTAGTATATGAAATAAAATGAAATAAACATAAAAAGTGGAGACATTTTTTAAAGATTTTTTAAAGGAGAGCGATCTCAAAAACATCTGTGTTTATGCACAAGAATATTGCTGTTTTAATTGGATTACTCATTTTCCAGTTAGGTAAGCTCCAGGTAAACATGTTTACATGACCCATAATTCTGATTAATACAGCCGTACGCCAGCTGTCTTATTCAGATTTCTATGAATATCGGTCAAACCGGGTCATGTAAACATGCTTTTCAGAAAGTCTGCTGTAACTGGAGGCTCATTTATATCTGCGCATGTCCAAACAAAGATAATTCGGGGTGATATTGGATATAGACAGTGTTTATTCAATAGCTTGACTTTTTCACAACTGTTTTGGAGCAAGAAACATTTTGAAAACATGAAAAGAAAGGTCATGGCCTACTTTTGTGAGTCTTGTGACCTACATTTTCCAAATCCTCACGTTAACGTTTGTTATTGTGAAGGAGTTGATTAAGTTATTGAGGAGAATTACTGAAAAAATGCAGTGTAATAAATAGCAAAAGAGCATCTTGAGTATTTTCAAAAGATTAGAGCAGGAACACACATGGCTTAGTTTATTCAGATTAAACAGAGCATAAACATTAAAATAACGTTGACATCTTTTTGTCGAATTGCGTTCAGATTTGCCGGTATACCAAAGGTTGTGAATGTAAACAAATCAAATGATCTATTCGCTTTAGTGGTGTAACTCAACTAAACAGCATGTGTTTTTCTGTCAAGTAAAATTCTGTGTCTTATAAATCTTTCACAAACTATATGCTGTAAAACGTTTAATGACAAAAAGTCAAGACAACAAATAGTTTTATCTTGCTTTAACCTATTTTTAATAAGTTAATCAGGTTTCAACTAAATTGTTAAAGTTATACAAACTTCGTATTTTTACTCAGTTTGATTGATGCAAGTTGAAATGCCTAGAAAAGTTAACTTGATTTAACTACTTTATCTTAACAAGTGGGTGTCTTTCTCTGTCTGTTTTAGAAGGAAGCAGAGCTGATTTGTGTGCATGGAGTGTGGGATCGTGTAGTGAGCTGTCAGCCCGTTGATTGTGGTCCTCCTCCTCCATCTCATGTCTACTTTGCTTCCTTCTCCTGTCCCTGGGGCACTACATTCGGCAAGCAGTGCACCTTTTCCTGTAACGCCCCGGCAATCCTGCAAGGTGAGGATGAGAACTGGGCTACTAGAGGGTTATTTGATTCACTTAAATTGCGGTGAAAGTGTCTGTTTTTGTGAGATTTTAAGCTTTTTTTTTATATGTAAATAAGTAAGCTTTTAAGCCAATAGCTGTATTTTTGTAACTGGTTTTGTGAGTTTGCCCATGAGTTATGTTATATAAATGAAAAACTTTTATAGCTTAACAAAATAATGTATTCAATTTATGGAGGCCAAAATCAAGATTGAAATTGAATTTCGATTAAAAAATCATTGTTACTATAACATTATAGGTTGCATTTATTTTTTATTTACAGATTACTTTTAAGAAAATGGATGATTTCAGCATGGAAAATCTTAATTTAATTTAATTTAATTTAATTTAATTTAATTTAATTTAATTTAATTTAATTTAATTTAATTTAATTTAATTTAATTTAATTTAATTTAATTTAATTTAATTTAATTTAATTTAATTTATTTTTTTAATTTGTTTATTTTTTCTTTACTTTTAGTTTAGCTTAGTTTAGTTTTTTTAATTTGATTTAATTTAATTTAAGTGTTTTATTTTGTTTTTAGTTTAGTTTTAAAAATTTTGTTTTAAATTTAATTTAAATTTATTTTATTTTATTCAATTTTATTTTATTTTATTTTTATTTTATTATTTTTTTAATTTTTTAAAAATTTTTATTTTTTATTATTTTATATTATTTTATTCTGACAAGCTTGCCTAAATGAGTAACATGGAAAACACTTTTATATTGAGCAATGCAGGCTAGGAATTCCAAACTATAGCATCTGCTGTTTACGAGCAGCAGTAACGTTTTAACTTTTTAAAAAATCTTTTGAAAGTCATATTCAACTGTCTCTCTCTCTCTCTAAAAAAAAAAAAAAAAAAAAAACAGGCTTCACAACATGTCTAAATATTTTCCTTGATCCATTTATGTCCATAATAAAAAGTGTAAAATGTGTAAAAACTGCCTATAAAATCACATCTTGATAAGATTAAAAGTGAAAAAATAGGACCCCTTTAACGTGTTTATTTCTTAGCATATCTTACTGTTACATATATGAGTGAGTTCTGAGTTATAACTGAGTAACCCAATATTGTGAGCATTTGTGAATTTGCTTTTATTTTAAGCTGCTGATGTTTCTTCAGTTTTTGTCATGATATTCATTATTAGTGTTCATTGATTTATTAGTTTAATATCATCACTTTTATGGATTATGTGTTTTGGGTGTGTATGCATATCTCAAGCAGGTACTCTCTGATATGATTTGTAGTAATATGACATTTTAAATAATAATAAAAAATATTTCTTTTAGCTCAGGTGGGAATTATCGCAGTGTTTTCATTATGAAATGCCCTTTGAGCACATGGTTCCCATGGCACGGCGCCCATTTGATATAGGACTCTCTCAAACAGTTTTAGTAACATAACTAATTAGATTTTTGTTTAAGTTCTGAAGCAGTTTTATTGCTCAATAAAATATAATGATTCCTTTACAAAGTTTTAAGATCTTTCTTTCTGCCTACTTTGTAGTCCTGATTAAATTTAGCAGTACCTAAAATGGCTGCATTTTTTCGAACAAACATGTACTTGCGGCACTACTAAAACATAATTTCAATAATAATAATGAACTCACTAAATACATAAATCACTGTAGTACTTTTGTTTATATCCAATTAATGCCAACTCATAAAAAGATGTTAAAAGGCCTCCCAAAAGAACACTACAGCCCATCACTGTAAAACACTACACTACAACAACAAGACCAATACGCATAGCAATTCAGTGATGCAATGTCCTGGACCTTTCAGTGAAGCCACTGACCACAGACTGCACTGCTCTCTGCCAAAGCAAAAATAAAAATAAAAAATTGGAGTGATCTATCAAAGCCTTGCATTTAAAAATATTATAGATCATATGAGGAGTGGTCCCTTGTGACCCCTGGGCTACCTTGCCTAAAATTATACATCTGAAATGAGTTGCTCTCTGGGGTCTTCTGTATTATGGGATGAAACTCAGTCTTGAATGTTACTTACTTACTTACTTGAATGTTTCCTATGTTCACATCTCCACCTGTGTTCTCCTGCAGCTCAGCCCTTCTTTCCTATTTACACAGCCAGGAAAGAGGGCTGGAACCAAAGTAAAGCCAGACCAATGATTAAGTGCAAAACAACACTGACTACTTAGCATAGCTGCTGTTCATAATGTATTTGAATTAGAGATATTAATGTCAATGTGAAAATGAAGTGCTATATATGAAAATAGGTGCTAGATAAACGAACATTTACAATATATAGGTATTTCTAACAAAAAGGCTGGTGCAGGAAGAGTGTGTCCTACAGGTGGTTTGTCAAGCCCACTCACCTGCATGAAGTACATTCATGCATCCTTAGCTATACAAACAAATATATAAAACAAAAAAATATTTCTAACAAAGTGCCTGGTGCGTAAAGAGAGGAAGCGTGTATCCTACAGGTGGTTTGTCAAGCCCACTCTGCTGCATGGAGCACATTCACACATCCTACAGTTAGGTGATGCATTGTATATATTCATTCATTCATGCAAGTGGCTTCAAATGGGTTAATTTGAATAGGTTGCCACAGCGGAATGAACCACTTACCCACCATATACCCACCAGCCGAAACCCAGCACTGGGAAACACCCATACAATCTTGCATTCCCACACTATGGCCAGTTTAGCTTATTCAACTCGCCTATAGCGTATGTCTTTAGACTGTGGGGGAAACCGAAGCACCCTGAGGAAACCCACGCCAACACGGGGAGAACATGCAAACTCCACACAGAAATGCCAACTGACCGAGCCAGGACTCGAACTAGCGACCTTCTTGCAGTGAGATGACAGTGCTAATCACTGTGCTACCTTGTTGCCTGCATTGTACATATGCTTTACTAAATTTTAAAGATAAGTCTTAATATAGTTTTGAACTGAGAGAGTCTGTCTGAGCCTCAGAGATTAACAGGATGGCGATTTTACAGTTTAGGAGCCATATATGAAAATGCTTGACCTCCTTAAGTGGATTTTGCTAATCTGGGTACTACAAGAAGCGCTGAGGTTTTAGATCTTAAAGAGCGAGTTGGATTTGTAGCGAGACAGAAAGTTGGTTAGATAAACATGACTGTTTAAAGCTTTACTTTACAGAACATGAACACTTAGTGTGGCTTAATGCATTAAGAAAAGTGATGTGTGTAGACCATATTTGTATACAGTTTGTTAAAAGTATGTTATATGTACTGGCAAGCAGATAAAGACAGAAAATCAATGTTATGCACTAATATTGCATATAACACGCTTTTGTACCTTTCAAAACTTTGAATAATTGCTTAATATGGCTTAATGCTTTAAAAAGGGATAAACATATACCAAATTTGGTATAGAGTTTGTAAAAATGTATTCTACTTACAGGCAAACAGTTGAACCCAGAATATCCACATGCTACATTCGATGTAATGCGTATTTCAACCATCAAAAAACGGAAAAAAAAATAATTCATGTGACTTGATCATTGCAAAAAAAAAAAAAAAAAAAAAGGTATATTGAAAAAAAAAAGTATATTGAAAGAAACCAAATTGGTGTACAGATTGTTAAAAAAATATATTTTAAATATAGCACTGCAAAGATCCTTCCAATTACTCTTTACTCTTAATTTTAAAATCAAAAGGAATTTCACAGAGAATATATTAGGTAGTTTGGGTCATGTTTGGTCTTTTATAACTGTGCACAAATGCAACCTCAAGCAATCATTTGCTGGCTGCAGTTCACTGAATGGCTTCTCACCTTTTGAAGAGCCAACAACTGATACTTCAAGGCTTCAGATGGTCTTAAAGGTTGGAGCTTTGGAACACACTGATGGAGCTTTCTTTTTGTCGTGTCTTTCTTTTATTCTTTTTGTCGTGTCTTTCTTTTATTCCTGATTGTTTTTATTTCATATACTTGTATTTTATGTTCCTTTAATTCTTGTTTATGTAAAGCATTTGAATTACCATTGTGTATGAAATGTGCTGTATGAATAAACTTGCCTTGCCATCTGTTTTTCAGGTGAGAGTGACACATTGGTTTGTCTTGAGGATGGACTGTGGTCATACCCAGAAGCTTACTGCAAGATTGAGTGTGCGGATCCACCTTTCCTACCAAATGCCACACTTCTAGTTCCTCATTGTCAAGGAGGCGGGCATGACGTGGGAACTGTTTGCCGCTTCAAATGCAACCCAGGATATTATGTCACTGGGACTCTCAACAAAAAGCCCAGAAAGTGAGTATTCGGTGTGGTTTGAACTAATTTTTAAGCTTAGGTTACCATGTTGACAAATTTTAAAGGAGAAAATATGTGTTTCCAGCGTCTAGGTTGCTCACATGGTTCTAATAAGATCAAAATCTCGCTCCATGTGTTTCCAAATATCTTTCAGCAATAGAGTCAGCAGTGTTCTTTGATGAATGGTCCGATGGCGTGTTGTTTTGGTATTCTATCCAATCAAGCTATAGCATGTAGCATACTTTAGCACATCTGAGGAGACTAGCGTTTGCACCTGCTTAATCTTTATGAGTTATTAAAATGGCTGGTAAAATACCTCAGTGTCTTTTAACTGCTTTTAATTGGGCATTAATACCAGAAGCGATAGCCAGTGCATCTAATAAAGCCATTTAAATGATCCTGTTTATTAAGACCATTGGCATGTTTGTTCTAAAGGCATTTCATTATGAAGGTTTGGTAAGTGGTTTATGGCGGCCTTAAGAGAGGTGTTATGCTATTATCAAGGTAATTTTAGCCTGTGCTTCCGTATGATCTTTCTCAATGAACAAGGCACCCCAATTTATTTCCTCAGGATTTATTGGCTATTTAGTCATACCAGATGGTTCGTCACATGGGTTAGATGTAAATAAAAAAATAAAAAAAACACGTGGCTGGAGGGGAATGTCATTCAAGAAATGCAGTAATTGCTGCATTCATGTTGAGCAAAAATGCAGACCAGAAGAATATAAAGAATAGGGGTGGGAGAAAGAATTGATTCATCGATACATCGCGATTCTTTCTGTAATGATTCTTTATTGATTTTTAAAACTACTAAATAGTTTCTGTATTCAAATTAGATCATGATTTTGCCAGCCTGTGTGGGCGCAAGCTAGAACCAAAAAAATAATAAACATCGACTGTTGCATATATGCATGCTGCCAAATTCTCTTTATTTGAACAAAGATGGACAAGCTGTAGAATTTTGAAGACGCAGTGATGCGATTCTTGTCTGAAGTGCGACCAGTGTCGTGCCGAAAAACGCACCCCTGCCAGATTATGCACCCTCTCATTTACTTGTATAGGGTAAGGTTGGGATTAGGTGTAGGAGTGGCGTTAGGATTAGAAGGTGTGGTTGAGATTAGACAATCAGAAAGTAAATTCAGCAAGGGGGTGCATGATTTTATGGCACAACCCCAGCTTCAGGACACTGTTTAAATTCCTTTGTCACAGAATGAAGACAGCATTGTGGTTCTTGTCCAGTGTGTGTCTGAATTTAGAATCACTAAAGAATCCAATGAAAGCAATTTTAATATAATTTACAAAAAAAAATGTACATTAAAATTTTAGCTTTGAAGATATTTCTTTGTTAATAATTAAAAAATATATTAATTCATTTATTTTCTTTTCCACTTAGTGGAAAAATCAGCCTGGTGGCTGATTTTGGTCTCTCTTGTTCCTTTTCATTTAGGATATTTATTCACATTTATTATTACTTTACTTTGTTACTGACCTAAAGCAGTAATATACGTTTTAATAGTAATAATAACAGTTTCGCTATTACTGATTTTATTAATGATGGTAATGCAACGATAACGCTTATTAATGCAGACGGATCATGGCTTTAGTGCCAAACGAGTGCTTTAAATCTATGTTATTCCCCTTATTTATTTCCGTTTTATTTCAAATAACCGGCCTATGAATGTTTAAAGGTTTAGGTAAAGACGTCAAATTATGCCCACACATGCAAGCTGACCCAAGATCAGACTTTTCGTATAACAGGTAAATAAATATAGTGAAATCAGCTTAACCGAGTCACTTCACGTAGCCTATTACCCAACCAACATCAGTGTTAGGGAAAAGCTAAATTTTACAATTTAATGTCATTCAAAACAATTACTTAGTTACATTTTAAGGCATTAGTGTAGCCAGAAAAATACCTAAAAAAGATACCAAAATTCACAGTTATTACCGTGAAAATTTGTTTGGCACGGATAACACGCAACTCAGGCTATATAACTTTTTTCATCATTTTAAATGTAAAAATAAAGATTCATCTGCTATCATAACTGTGTTTTTTTCGTGATATTGTCTGGTTGTCATTTGTAAACCATCATAAACCATGGTTACTAGGCCTATCCGTCATTTTATTTATTTATTAAGCCTATTTTAATTACTTGTTTTCAGGTTATTTTGATTTTAGGGCCATGAGCTACAAGTCAAAACAAACTCGATATGCTGACTGTATTTCAGCTTTTAAAATAGGTTTACAATATATTTTATGTTGTTTAATTTTGCATGAACAAATAGCAGTATAGCCTAAATGACATATTTTTAAAAGATTATTCAGCCTACGTGCAGCATGTAGGAGATTTATCGGTTGATCCGCGGTAAATCCACTTAAGCACTATATTCCATTTATAACACTGTAAACTTGACTTCGCAGGCCGATCATCTTTAAACGCAAAATAAGGCTTTTATTAAGTGTTATACCTTGACTGCTGCTGCATAATGAGATGTTTCTCTACCAGACTGTAAAAGTGCGCTTTTTAACAATGTCAAAATGAAAGCAAACATTCAAAGGGTTCTGCGTTTTGTCAATTTTAGCTTAATTGGAATCATATTAATAACAATATTAATTAATAAATTAAAATATTATTTATAGTGTAGCCTACTGTGGGAAAACACTGCCAACTGTTTTTATTAAAACATTTGATTGGGCTACATCTTCCCGAATAACTAATTTTAGCAAAGACGCAACTGCCAGTCATTTTCACATTAATTTAACAGCAAATTTCTTCTGCGTTTCTTCCTTTTAGCGCTCAAGAGAGTTGTGTTTAAAGAATTAGTTAACCATAACATGTAATGAATTAAGCTGCTCGTATCATGTCACCCACTTTTCTCCCTTGTGAGTTGAGTGCGCCTCCATCGCCTGTGCGTGTTTTATTTACGGGCGCACCTGACCTGACGCGGGGACCGGATCTCTGGACTGTAGGACTAGCTTTAATCTCACAATTTTTATAATTTAATTGCTATGTCAAATATTTTTAAATATTTAAATGTGTGTTCTAAAGGTTGCAACGACAGGAGTGTTAGTAATTAATGACAGAAAGAATTTTGAGTTTTGAGTGAACAATCCTTAATGTAAACTGGGGGGGCACAAATTCTTTCTGGAGGGGCAATGCCCCCCCTTTGCCCCCCCCCGTAGCGCCGGGCCTGCACCCATACACTCTCATTCACACACATACACTACAGACAATTTAGCGGTCCCAATTGACCTATAGCATGTCTTTGGACTGTGGGGGGAAACCTGCGCAAACACTGGGAGAACATGCAAACTCCACACAGAAATGCCAATTGACCCAGCCGAGGCTCGCACCTGCGACACTCTTGCTGTTTACCCTCTGCGCCATCACACCACCCAAACATATAAAATAAAAATGTAAAAAAAATGTTATGAATTGTTTGTTGTTTATGAATTCTCTTTGTAATCTGGCATTTCAATGTGGCGTTCAGAGTTTGTTTATTCCGAATATAACCTTTTTAACAATGCAGTACCATCATGCAAAAAATCCAATCATCAGCAAAAGTATAGAATTTCTGATTAAAATATAAAGTTGTAAAGATGTATTTGCAAAGCTTAAGAAATATGAAATATGTAGGTCAAAATATCTTTTTGGAATTGCATTGTAATTTTCATGATCAATTGTAGAACCATTGTTGCGTAAATATCTTTTTAAATTACGTTTTTTGGTTGTTTAAATTCTACATATAAAATGTTAATTAATTATTAATTATAAAACAAAAAATATAAAAATGCTTGATTTATATTGGCTCTAATTTTGTCTGTGTTGGATTCTTATCAGATTTTATATCTTAGTGACTTTAGGCTCTTCCACAGATACAGATCTTTCTGGAAAATTACCAATTATTTTCTGCAAAGGGAACATGTGTGAACAGGCCCTTTTTGAAAATACCGGTAAATTTGTTCCGGCCTTTTTAGGAAAGAGAAGTTCCTTCTAAATGCTAACTGTGTAAAACATTATCGGTAGAAAGCTTATGATAAACCTTTGTTTGTTTACCTTCAATCTCTGCTTGAAGTTAAAGAGTGCTTCACTGAGTGCCAGCAAACACACATATGATGTATATCTCGACATGCGAAAATGTTCCTCCATATGTTTTCATAGAAGTTGTTCACATAACTTATCCATCCACAGAATTTGTAATGTTGTTAAATGTATAACATTGGTTCACGATTCTGCCTTTAGATGTCTCAAACAAAGTAGCTGCATGAAAACATCAACAAAACCCAGACCACTTATATGTTCTAAATACAAGCACAGCCATTTAGAGCTCATTTCTGGTTAATGATGTCAGAATTTGCCAGTATTTTGCAATAGATGTGCGAATGCTCTTTTCCGGAAAAAAAATCCGTAATCGCTTTTTTAAAAAATTTGCCGGTAAAATCGTTCTGAAAGTTTTCAGGATATTTAGCCATATCGCTGTGTGAAAGGGGCTATTGTCCCATCACAGGTACTGTATTTTGAATAGGATTGTAAGACGTTAACCTCCATAAATTTTTTAAATCACATGAGGGTGACTAAGTCTTGAGTAGATTTTCATTTTTAAGTGAACAATCACTTCTAGTGTGAAGGCCAAAGATGCACATACAAAGTGATGGCACAGGCATTATACTATATAGTTGTCTGCGTGAAACGCTCTAACCCCTCCTTCATAGTAATGCCTTGTTTCCTTCAGGAAGTTTCTGAGGTTGGAGTGTTTGGAGGGTGGAACATGGCAAGAGGGCAGCTGTTCACCCGTCACATGCCCTCCTCTACGACCAATGTTTGAGGGCATGTACTCATGCACCAACAATTTTGACTTTGATAGTGTCTGCACCTTACAGTGTTCTGATCCAACAGAAAAGGTAATATTGCACTTTAGTCTGTGCATTCATAATAGCAATTAATATAAATATATTTATATATAATTTCCCCTACAGCCCAGCATTAGATGCACCAAAGACGGCAGATGGACTGAGGACTTCACTATGTGTAAGAAAATAGTGGGATCATGCCAGGCTCCTCCTGAAGTAAACCTGGTGGAATACAGCTGTGATGAAGGCTTTGACGTGGGTAAGGATTTCAGCTGGCAGGAAAATTTGCAAAGTTTTCCTTTTAAAACATGACTCATTCTCAAACTTCTAAGAAAGCATAGATCTCGGTTGTTTATCTGAACACATACAGAGCCCTCCAGTTATATTGGCACCCTTTGTAAATATGAGCAAAGAAGGCTGGAAAAAGTTTGCTCTTGCTCTAATATTAACAAAAAGACTTGACTTTGTTTTTGGATGACAGAAGAGGATGTTTTTGTAAATTTCTTCTAAACAATTTGTAGTGATGTAGGTGACCTAAATTGTAGTTTTGGAGACTTTCTGAACCTAAGTCCTAACTCACATCTCCAGCGTCTCTTTTTTTTTGGCCACTCAAACTTAATTCTCATGCAGACTGACTCATAACACTCTAAGTTGACTGAAATTAGTTAAATAAGTAAAAAATAGTAATAGTGCTGTTTCTTTTTGCATATAAATGTCAATTCAAGAATTCACACTTAGCTGATGATTGATTATAAAGGGAGTTTGGCATGCTGTCCCAGGAGAGAGCTTCCTCCTATTTGCAGGGCAAGAGGGGAGTTTGAGCTTAGGTACAGTAGGTCTTGAGGACTTCCTCCCCAATTTAGGGCTAATGACAAATTAGGTATTGCTAAGAAAAAATATACCCCTGGTTAAGAGCTCGACTATAGTGCTTATTTAGATTGGTCAAATCACTTATGACACATGTCTTTGGACTGTGTCAACTGGCCTGTTAGGGACTTGAACCAGTGACGTTCTTGCTGTGAGGTGCTAACCACTGGGCCGCTGTGCTGCCTTATAAAGGGAAAGGAGGAGGAGTAGGGGTGGAAGGGGGGATTCTTCAAGGCGAAGATAACTGAAGTAAGACACTGGTTATTTATAATGAGTTAGGAATCATCTGATTGGTGAATCATGCATTAGCTAATGCAGGATCAGCCGTGATCAATCATAAGCATGTGATCCTCTTGAAATGAGTTTATAAATAAACTTCACTAATTGTGGCACACATATATTTGAAGAAATATATTTGTTGTTGTTTTTTTTTTGTATAAAACTACGATTTTGCTTTTCTTGTAAGAGCTAATTTATTTAGGTAACACAAAGCAAAAGGTGAAACAATACAAACAAAAGTTTTTTTTACAGACTTCTTTGCTCATATTTACTAAAGTTGTCAATATTAATCAAGGACAGTTTTTTTGTATTGCATTTTGAAATAAATTAGTTTATTTAGTAGGAATGCTGCAATACTCAATATAATATTGAACTTTTCAGAACATCACAGTTCAAATAATAGGGAAATTGTGTTTTTTTTGTTCTGCATTAAATCTTAAAAATTGTATTTTCCCTTCCTTAATTACACTTTGAGCTGGCTCTGTGCATGTTAAAATGTATGTCCATACTTGCTCCCCACAAGTAAATGTCCATCAGTGAGCACTAAAGTTAGGGATGCTTTTACATTAAAATGCTAGTGACGTGTGCTGCATGTCAGTGCATGAGTGTATGTGAGTCCAGAATCCCAAAACCAGAGCTCACGCAACATGCAGGAGATCTGAGAAATGTTTCATCTGACCAGGTAAATAAAAGTTACCATGTGCAATTTAAGTCTTGCATCTAAAGGTAAAACTCGATTATGAACAATTATTATGTCCATCTTTCTGACTTGACGAGCATTCATTTGGTTACACCTTGAAACGCAAGCATTCAGAAATTAATTTGTCTGTAATCTTATTGTGGTGTGTCTTAATACAAAGACATCTTATTCCTGCTGTCTGCATTTTTAGTATTAATTAAATAGCAAACATTAATGAAATCAACCATTCTGTTCATGAACTAATAGCTATATACTAGTTCAATATTGATTACCTTTATTTATTTACACAGCAAAGATACATTGTTACATTTGATTATATTCTTTCAGTGAAAACTACTGTTAGGTACATGAAAAACCTGAAAAGCACTGTTTATTTAGTAGTATCTTTGCTATATTTTATTCATTTTGTATTGTTTTTAGAGTTCTTTTTTCTTTTATTTTAATTTGACAGACCTTTACTAAAGATATCATGTACCCAACCAGACCAAAACTGTGACTCAAAGCCAAAACCAAACAGAACCGTGAGAAGTCTGTATTGTTGCACGCCTAATATTTAGGCCACTGCATTTATCTTTCCTATTAAGTGGTCTAGACATACTGGACCACAGTCAGTTGCATGCAGGAGGATATTTTGGAGTGCCAACCTGCCAAGCTGTTCGACTATGGATGACTAGTCCAAAGCTTGGCTGTTCATGTGCTCGCATGAATAAATTCAACAGATGCAAATGATGGTTAAAGCAAAGCTCTCTTTGTGTCATGGCAGGTGCAGCCTGTTACCCAACATGCATTGTGCCCTTGAGTGACCCTGTGGTTTTAGCCAATGGCTCCAGCGCTGATACAGTAGAGCACTGGATGGTTCCAACCAAAGTTCAGGTGAGGTGGAGGAGCCAGTTTGCAAAGTTTGTTTGATATCTTTGGTTTTTCCATTTCTTTAACCAAGACTTTGTATTCTCTTTAAAACTTAAATATTAGATTTTTACTGCTAATTTTTGACAATCTGACAATAAGTGGCATTAGTGTATGTCATGTTGGTGTATGTTTATTTACATTACTCCACAAAAGTCAGTATATATATATATATATATATATATATATAATTATATTTAATTATATTTAAAACAGGAAAAACGTATAGAAATAATTAATTATTATCTTCACAATTGTTCATTATAACATTATTATCAGATTTTATATATTTTTTTTTTATCATTTGTCTATTTATTGTTATTTTAGAATCGGAGAAGAATAGTCCCATCAATTTACATCTTTCTACTACGGTTGGGTTGATGGCCGATAGACAAAACGATGCTGAGCCAGCATGGCGATCCTTCTCCCTGCCCCTGTCACAGCAGCAACTCGCTCGCGAAAAATACACACGGCCCCATTTACACTAATACGTCTTAGTTTTAAAACGGCATTTTAGACCAAAAACGATCCACATCCACACTAGTGTTTCATCTAACATATCTGAAAAGCCCTCCTTCCATACTACACCACTGAAAACGCACATCACGTGACCAAACACACACACACACACACACACACACACACACACACACACACACACACACACACACACACACACACACACACACACACACACACACACACACACACACACACACACAAACACCTACTCTGTCATGAGCTGCAGTGTATGAACGTATCTAAGCTCTAGCAGTCAGCGGGTGCTTTGAACACAAAACCCCAGAGAGCAGTGCACGTCAGACAGTTTCTAATCTAATCTAATTCTAATCTAAACAGTAATCTTGTCTCTATCGAACGACTCTTCTTTCTCTTGAATCTATCAGGTAACGTTTCACCGAGTCAATACACTGCTTCAGTCTTTGGCTTTTACGCTAGTACTTAGTAATTTTTGGCGAAAACCTCAGATACTGTTGGTTGGTTGCTGTTGGTTGTTCACCTTTTTAACTAACCAAGTTTGTTGACGCCATTGTAATGACACAGATCACTCTGCCTATTCATGCCAGAGTCAAACGGAAAAAGTGATTGATAGGTGGTAATTTGTGTGTAACATCTTTATTTATTTATGATTTGGTTATGGTTAAAACAAAGACCATGCGGGTCAGGTAGTTAAAACGGTAGACTACAAATAATTAATTCATTAAAAATGAATTTACTATTCATAAATAAATCATTCATTGCACCTACAACGACAATGCTATTGTCCATCGCAATGTTTCACATTAGAGATCGTACAATGCCAAATTGATCGGCATCGCCCAACCCTACTTTCTACACTCATTACTGTAGCATTTTTGTATTTTAGTTTTTAAAATGTGTGCATATATGGATATATATATATATATATATATATATATATGGAATATATAGAAATATGTGTACATAATAAGGACAAAATAGCTCTTGAACACTATTTTTAAACCCCAAACAAAAAGGTTTTGCAAGTAGTCTTATAAACGTTAGTTTGACCCTCAGTGATGGCAGCGATTTTTCTGAGACTGAAATAAAATGTGTTTTTCCCAGTTCCACACATCATGACATGAGGTGTGTTTGACATCTACCAAATGTAAAACTGCTCACGTTTCTGATCTTTGGTTTTGAGGGGGGGTGGTTATTTGGCAAAGGAGCTTCGAGACTTTGGACGTGAAATTGAAATCGCATTATTGGCACATCAGAGTGATAAGTTGGATTGAGTTTCCTTGATTGTTGCTCCAAAACCAGGCTCAACTTGCTTTATTGTTGAAATCGCTCTGCAAAAGTGTTGATTCTGTCTCTCACTGTCATATCAGCTTGGGAAAGTAATGATTACAGTGCGATGTTTTTATAAAAGACGCTTAAAATGCCACACGTCAAGCATGACGCCTCTGAAGGTGTCAGACTCTCATTGTTTATAAAGATACATCAGCACCCCTGCTTTCCAGGAATGTTTTCCAAAGTATTGCAGATTGGGTAAGAATGATGGAGGAAAGGTCACAGTAGGAGGTAGATGAATAAGAGATAAGAGAGTTTCTTTCCAGAAATTCTGCTTTAGAAAACAGGTCAACTTTCCAGTTCTGAGAAAACGTCAAATCAATGAAATATTTGTCCAAATTGAAAAGACAGGAGGGAATGAGTAACGTTTTGTACGCAGCAGCTATTGGATATTAATTTGTGATATTATTTTTAGGCATCATATCTGCTTTTTTTGACTTCTTAAATTAAGTTAGATATTATTAGATTTCGGCAAAAGTCTAAATACAACACAACTAAATGCAAACCTCCTTTTCATGTTTCCTCTTATGAAACATGTTGAAAGAACTCGTTTAATAGTGGCAAATCACATTTTTTGGTTTAAATATACAAGTACATATAACAAGATACTATTATTAAAGTGCAACAAGTTGACTGTCTTTTTCCATTTTTCTCTCTTCTGTTAAGAGTATTGTCTGCACTGGGATGTTGAAGTGGTATCCGAATCCGGAGCAGATCCACTGCATTCAGTCCTGTGAGGTGAGTGACAGTTACTGTACATGATGGGAATTTTCGATCCAAAACTAAATCAAAATCACGGGAGTCAGAGGAGTCTCCAAAGAAGATCTTATCCAAATTTTGCCATTCCAAGAGGTTGTCAAAAACACTTCAGACCAGGTTGCTTTTATAGTGTAAACGCATTCTATCAGCCACAAAAGACCACATGCTCTCCATCTATTGACCTAACACATTGATCGATATGGCTTGGGTTGAAAAAAGCAGCACTGTGACCTTTGTAGCTCATCATACTGTAACTGCGTTTGCAGTTTCTTAAAACAAATTGAACGGCAGCTAATTATTTCAAACATCTTTAATAATAAAGAGAATGAGTTGTAAATCTGAATGAACAAAAATTGTGAATTAGTATAGTTTCTGACAAAATATATTTTTGTAATTAAATAAGTTAATACACGTTTTGTAATTGTACTATTGTTAAATGATAATCTCCTTATTGCAATATTGGCTAATTACCTGCCTATAATTAAGATGTTGGCTCTTTATTAGTATGTATAAAGTACAAATTCAGCATGATATTTTAATACCTAAACCTAACTACAATCTTAATAATTGTTAATAAGCAATTTAAATTAGTAGATTATTGAGTTAGTGGACAATTAATAGCAAAAAATTGTACCTTAAAATAAAGTGTAACGTAATAATGATAATAAAAAGCTGTTAGGCTGTTTGGGCCCTAATCAGAATTCCCTTAATCTATTGACATGCACTCATCGGCCACTTTATTAGGTACACCTGTGCAACTGTTCGTTAACGCAAATTTCTAATTGACTAATCACATGGTAGCAAATCAATGCATTTAGGCATGTAGACATGGACAAGACAATCTGCTGCAGTAAAAAACAAGCATCAGAATGGGGAAGGAAGGTTATTTAAGTGACTTTGAACATGGCATGGTTCTTGGTGCCAGACGGGCTGGTCTGAGTATTTCAGAAACTGCTGATCTACTAGGATTTTCACGCACAACCATCTATAGGGTTTACAGAGAATGGTCCGAAAAATAAAAAATATCCAGTGAGCAGCAGTTCTGTGGGCACAAATGCCTTGTTGATGCCAGACGTCAGAGGAGAATGGCCAGACCTGTTCCAGCTGATAGAAAGGCAACAGTAACTCAAATAACAACTCATTACAACAGAGGTATACAGAAGAGCATCTTTTCTGTGCCGCTCCTGTCAGCTAAGAAACAGGAAACTGAGGTTACAATTTGCACAGGCTCACCAAAATTGGACAATAGAAGATTGGACAAATGTTGCCTGGTCTAATGAGTCGTGATTTCTGCTGCAACATTCGGATGGCAACCACCTCCAGCTCCAACCACCACCAAATCACACCTACCTTATAGTCTCTAGTAGTATTAAACAGCTTATCCAACTAATCAAGGTGTTTGATTAGGGATGGAGCAAAACAAAGCTGTGGCCGTCTAGCAATTTAATTTGAGACTCATGGTCTAATCTGATTTAATTATTTATGCTAAGCTAAACTAAAAGTATTTGAATGAATGAATAAATAAATAAATAAATAAATAAATAAATAAATAAATATATATATATATATATATATATATATATATATATATATATATATATATATATATATATATATATATATATATAATAAATTCTAAAAGGATTAGTAGCTAAAAGTAACTAAAAGTATTTCCACAATACCTGGAAATCAACTAAATGGATTAAAATATGGAAAAAACTGATTTTTCTTGTTGTGAAATTAGGCTATTTTCCAAAAAAAAGTGGAGTGTTCCTTTAATGAAATAATGCACGTAAAGCCAGTGCACTTTGATGCATTGCAATTTGCACAGATGTGATGCATCTATATATATATACACACACACACACACACACACACACACACACACACACACACACACACACACACACACACACACACACATATATAAAATTTCCTCGCAATTTCCTTTTTTTCCTCGCTCTGTTAATTTCTGTAAAAAACTTTTTTTCCTCGCATTGACAATTTCCTCACTCTGTTAGTCATCATTTTGGTGTTCAATGTATATATATACAATGTATATATATATATATATATATATATATATATATATATATATATATATATATTTATAAATTTTCTTTTTGGCGTAGTCCCTTTATTAATCCAGGGTCGGCACAGTGGAATGAACTGCCAACTTATCCAGCACGTTTTTACGCAACGGATGCCCGTCCAGCCACAACCCATCTTTGGGAAACATCCACACACACTCATTCACACACTCATACACTACGGACAATTTAGTCTATCCAATTCACCTGTACCGCAGGTCTTTGGAGTGTGGGAGAAACATACACATACACATATACATATACATATACATATACATATACATATACATATACATATACATATACAGTTAAAGCCTCCCTGTTTATTTTTTCCATTCATTTAAATGCTTAACTTGTTTAATTAGGTTAACTAGGCAGGTTAGGATAATTAGGCAAGCTATTGTATATCGATGGTTTGTTCTGTAGACTATCAAAAAAATATATATATAGCTTAAAGGGGCAAATAATTTTGTCCTTTTATTCTAGCCAAAATAAAACAAATTAGACTTTCTTCAGAAGAAATTATATTATCAGAAATACTGTGACAATTTCCTTGCTCTGTTAGTCATCATTTTGGTGTTCAGTGTGATGAAGTAAACTCAACAGCAGAATGTACATCTGCTTTGTGTCAGATCTAGCAGAGTCAAGAGCAGTTCAACAAATACCACCAGCAGAGCATGAAGGTGGTCTAGGAGGATCAGGGAGCTCTAGAATCAGTGATAAATGATGAGCATATTGATTGTTTTACTTTACTTTCCAATTATTGTATCACAGAGCTCCATGCGCAGATGGGGAAATCTGTTTTGCTTTTTCACTATCTCTGTAATCATAACTCTATGTACGTCTATTAGCTGGACAGCTTGACCGAAATGGAACTCGCAAATCAAATCAAGTGATCCATTGAAACAATTTATCAAGGCATGTATAAATAAAGCGTAATAGGTTGAGCTAGTAGCATGTAATATGTCTCATGAGTGACTTTCACTGAAGTCCTTCACGCCCACAGCAATACTTGAGGTCGATTGTCATGGACCCAATCCAAAGGGTCGAGAAATGCAAGCATTCGGTTTTCTATTTTGTCGGTGTGTTTCATGGTTTACACATTCCCGAGTTTTGCATTTACATCAGCAATGAGGCATTTAGCTGTCAGGGATTTCCGACACCGTCCGCTCTCATATGGAGACATCTTTAACATTTCATGTGGCCAAGAGAAACATTTAGCACGGTGGTTGATGGACTGCGTGCCACATCTTCCCACAGCTTGCTGACAGATTGATTCTCACCGGTACTCCTTTTATCGCAAAAATAAAACCGAATGAAAATATCATTGCCACTGAAAAATGTGGTATATACATGATCATAAAACATATTATTCCGGATTCTGTTCCTCCTGAGTCCTTGCCGCAATTCACAGAATCCTGTTTAAATTCGCCCCGAGCACTAACTCATCGGCCTTTGTCGACAATCGCAGTGTTGTGGTGCCAAAGCAAATGAATGATCTTATCGGTGTGCGCGGGTCAGCTGGACAGAGGGAATTTAAAGGATGTTATGTAACTGATGGATGCGTTAAAGCAGTTGTAAAATAATCACAAATGATATGTGACGAAAGTAACATACCAGGTTTTGCTAGAAATCAACAGAAGTAACACAGCCGAGTCATGCAAAGCCTGGAAACGAAAGTAGTGTTGAAATGAACAGTCGAGTGTTTTGGAAAATAATGGATGACTGTTTATTGGAATTCTCTCTGGATTTTCGCTCTGTCAGTGTGGTCAAGGGATGTTTCTTGAAAGCAAAAGGGTGGAGCGGTCTTTTGTATGGCATGCTGTTAAAATGTGTTTTATTTTCAGAAATAGATTTTGCAAAAACACAAAGGAAATTTTTGCATGTAGTGTACATATATTAGTGTATGTTGTACATTCTCGATCTATTATTTTGGAATCTACTGATGACATTTTGTACATAATAAACATTATTTCATGTTTTCATGAAAAATTTTTTGCCATAAAATAACAAAAACATGGTTATGTTTATTTATTAATATTTGGCATAAAATAACATAAAAATTTATGTTTATTTATTAATATACATTATAGGGTATTTTTGGCATAAAATAAATTAAAAGTTGCTGTGTTTATTTATTATTATACATTTTAGGCCATTTTAGCATATAAAAACAAAAAGATTGCTGTGATTATTTATTAATATACATTTTTTAGGACATTTTTAGCATGCTGTGTTTATTTTATAATATACATTTTTAAACCATTGATGGCATAACATAACAAAAAAGTTCTTGTATTTATTTATCAATATGCATTTTTGGCATATAACAACAAAAAAAAGTTGCTGTGTTTAAATATTAATATACATTGTAAGCTATTGTTGGCATAAAAAAAACAGTTGCTGTGTTTATTTACTAATATAAATTTTTAAGACATTTTTGGCATAAAATAACAAAACATTTGCTGTGTTTATTTATTAAACATTTTAGGGCATTTTGGGCATTAAAAAACAATAAAGTTGCTGTGTTTATTTATTAGTATACATTATAAAGAGATTTTGGCATAAAATAACAAAAAAGGTTGATGTGTTCATTTATTATTATACCTTTTAGGCCATTTTGGCATAAAATAACACAAAGGTTTCTGTGTTTATTCATTAATATACATTTTTAAGACATTTTTGGCATGTAATGTTTATTTATAATAAATACTTTAAGGAAGTGGTTCTCAAACATTTTTCATCGAGTACCACCTCAGAAAAAAAATAGTCTCTCCAAGTACCACCAAAATGAGCAGTATTGAAATACAGTAGTGTAGTAGGCCTAATAAAGCAGCTACAACTCTGCACAGTTAAAAAAAAAATGTGGCAGATTACCTCAAAAATATA